GTTTTTCGGAAGGCGGGCCTTCATCAAAGTCGGAACTAATCGAGCCGTTTGTGCCAGGCTGGAGAGAAAGGTATTTTAATAATGTAAATTATGTAAAAAATAATGCGTTTTTCGAACCACCAAGCATGAGAGCATGTTCTAGTACACCCCCAAAACAAATTCAAGACATTGTAAAAGAGCATAATAGGACCCCTTTAAAATTTCTCTGCTACTTTATTTTAAGATATAATACTGTTCAAACGTTTTGGATCGGTAAGATTTTATAATGTTTCGAAAAAAGTCTCTTATGCTCACCAAGGCTACATTTATTTGATTAAAAAGATACAGTAAAAACAACAGTATTGTAAATATTATAAAATTTAAATAACCATTTCAATACATTTTAAAGTGTAATTTTTGCTGAAATTTCAGCAATCATTAATTCAAACATTTCTTATTACTATCAGTTGAAAACTGTTGTTCTGCTTATTATTTTTTAGGATTCTTTGATGTATAGAAAGTACAAAAGAACATTTTGAAATCATTTGTAACAACATAAAAGCCTTTACTGTCACCTTTGATCAATTTAATGCATCTTTTCTGAAAAAAAAAATATATCTTTCTGACCCCAAACTTCTGAAATGTAGTGCATATGAAAATTATCTTTATGATTTACTAAACTCTGAAAGGTTAATATGTAACAACGACCAAGTTGTTAAATAGGAATTGGTCATGTAAATCTGGGAATTTGAACGTTAATGTCATCATGGTTGTGAATATCTGAATGACCCTTTAATATCTCTGTTGTGAATGTTAAGAGTTTTGTCTATACTGTAAATCAACCCCTTTATTTCAAAGCAGCAAGGAAAAATCCTTTTCTTCATTTATGTCCTTAATTCTGTTCAGCAATAGCAGATAGGCAGAGCATGCCGTGACTCTTATGATATTGCTTTCTGACCTTTCTGGACTTTATCACACAGCAGATAGACCTCCTCTCCTCCCGTCACACAGCCGGCGGTCCGATCCATCCGCACTATCTTCAGATTGGAGGCATTTGGGGCCTCTGAAATGCCACAAGAGAGACAAAGGTGTTAGAAATGAAACATGTCTTTCTGTTTTTCATTTTTGTGGTGTTTCCTCATTTTCCCTTTCTGTTCTCTAGCAGTCTCGTTTTACAAACATGAAGTCTGACAGTGCTGAGAAGAGAGGCAGAATTGGAGACAGATTATTAGAAAAGGGAGGGGAAATTGAAAGTGTAGGCCTAGTTTCAGAGAGGAAGCAATACCGACAGTTCTGTCAGAGAGTGAGAGTACAAGTGAGAGAAACGGAATAGGAAAATGAGAACAAGAACGAGATCAAGAGTGAGACTTAAAAATATATCAGTAATTAGCCCCAAAACTCAAAATCATGCTAAAAGCCATAATTTCTAATGACTATGAATTAGAGTTATCGAACTATAACTAAACCCATTAAATAAACCTATTTCGTTTCTTGAAATAAAATAAAATCTATTTTATTTCAGATAGATGCCAATGTAACATTTCCCATTTTCAGTCAGTTTAACTTGATGTAACTGAAATAAAATGAATAATACCGAGGAATTTACCAATTAATTCTTTAAAAATCCTACAATGTGATTTTCTGGATTTTTTTTCTCATTTTGTCTCTCATAGTTGAGGTATACCTATGATGAAAATTACAGGCCTCTCTCATCTTTTTAAGTGGGAGAACTTGCACAATTGGTGGCGGACTAAATACTTTTTTTGCCCCACTGTATAAACCTTATTTAAATGACAAAAAACATGACAAAATTACAAAAAATACCTCAAATTAAAATGCAAATGGAAAATATATAACAAAAAAGATTATAAATATTGTTAAAAACTATATCAGTATCTCAATGATACTAAAATAACACTGCTATGAATGCTTTTGATCGACATGGTCAGTATATCAAGGAGGACGATACTCACTGCTGTCAAAGATGGGGTCTGAAATGACTGGTTCCAGCCTGCGGGAGAACCCTCCATCACTGTCGGGCAGGAAGGCTGTGAACATGAGCCGTACCACGCTCAGATCCATCTCCTTTGACTGATGAATAGATGCACTGCTAATCAGGTTCCTCTCAGCATCTAAAATACATGAACACATATGCTGAGGTTCTTTTTATTTTACATCTCAGGCATTCTCAGAATCAATAATCAGTTACACAGTGTGTAGTGTGTACCTTGTTACAGTGTAATTATAAATATAAGTACTGAGTAATATTAATTAACTACATGTACTTACTATATGGTTAAGGTTTGGCTTAGGGTTACTTGCATGTAATTATGCATATTTAATTGTTATTATAATAGTAAGTATATGTAACGTGTAACAAGGACTCCTTAAAATAAAGTGTTACCCAATAATCTCTTAATCCTTTCTGTTGACAAAAGCATTCTTAGATCATCAGTAGAATTTTATCCATAGTGACATACAGTAAATTTTTTTATATGGCCAGAGTCCCTGGACCAAATTGTCTTGGCACAAAGTGAAAAGTGATTGCTTCTTGAAAAGTTTGAACCTACAACCTTTCTGTTACTATCCCAGATCTTCAATCTTTAAGCTACAATTACCATAAGCAATATCATGGCTTGGAAAAAATATATATATATATATTTTATGCTCACCAAGTCTGCATTTATTTAATCAAAAATACTGTAAAAAGGAATGGCAATATTGTGAAATATTATTATTACAATTTAAAATAACCTTTATTTCTTTCATTTTATTTTTCTATTTATAATATATTTGAAAATGTAATTTATTCCTGTGACAGCAAAGTTGAATTTTCAGCAGCCATTACTCCAGTCTTCAGTGTCACATGTTGCTTCAGAAATCACTCTAATATGTTGAAAACAGTTGCACTGCTTAGTATTTTGTGAACACCATCACATATTGATTCATGATTCTTAATATTAATATTGTGTCCGGGTTATTACAAATGTGTTTACTGACACTTTTGATCAAATTAATGCATTTTTGTGTAATAAAAATTATTAATTTCTTTTAAAAAGGAAAAAAAAAAAACTTACCGACTTCAAAGCTCTAAACGGTAGTGTAGATGCAAAAGTGCAAATATTTAGTATTTAGAATTCTTTGTGGTGAAGCAGGAAATAATGATGGCAGGGCAAATAAATATTTTAACTACCATCCTGACTGGGCCAGTAGAAAAATTGATGAATATCCTGAATATGGACATAATCTGTCAGGAAGGGTTCAGGCATACACAAACACACTTCTACCTGTGAGTTCTCTGGGCATGCGAACCTCTCCTTGTAGGACATCAATCTCAGGATTGATGAATATGCCGTAGTTATATCCCATCCTGTAGGCCTCGATCATCCTCTCTTCCAAAACTTTGCTTACGTTCTTCTTTGTCACGTGCAAAATGCCCAAGTTAGGAAAACTGTGAAACATTCACAAAGTGAACATTAATAAGGCCCTCACTATTATCATTGCATGCATGCTGTTGCTCAGAAAAAGGCATTCTGAATAATTGGATGTTGAGAGACAAATTCAGACCTGATGCTTGAATCTTTGGGCAGCAATTCGACAATGCAGATTCCTTTATCACACTGTTTGCCCACCAAGCTGTGAGCATGAAGATGGGGCTCCGCGGTGTTGGTCACCAGCTGAACTACCACTCGAGCTGCACCCTGGTAGTTACAGACCTGTTGCCCCACAAACAAACAGAATAAAAACATTAAAAAGTGGGTACATTTTAATCAGACTTTCATCTGCTAAATATGTGTGTGTGTTTATGTGTTTAAATGTATAAATCTACATTTTATTATTCAATGTGAAAAATTCATCATCAAAAATATTATTAGATCAATATTAGTTTATGATAAATAATAGATTCATTTATATAATTAGCTGTTACATAATATTAATAATAATAATTTGTTATTATTACCATTATTAAACAATAAATAATACCATACTATACACTAAAATTATAGTGAAGTATTTGCATAGCAGTTCTGCAAATACTTTTCATAAAGTCTAAAAGGCAAACCAGAAGACATTAATGGCGAAGGAATGTCACAGGTATGCTAATCTCATTTTGGTGGGGGAAATCCCAGCATTCACAGGGAATGTGGGCGGACCATGTGTGGACTTTTCCACAACATAATTTGGCCATTCTTATCAACAACATCCTCAACACACAGAAGAGTTCAAATGAAAACAAAAAGTGCCACAGTGGACTGAATTACAAATAAATCCCAATGATAAAAGAATTAAAATCGGCTCTTCTTGACTCATAGGCAAAGGTGTGTGGTTTGACTGCTTCTATAGGCTAAGTTCAAATATGGCTCATAAGGCACTTTCTCTGGGACGAAATGACTCATGCACAAAGCAATATCAACCCCCAGAAAAAAATACCCAGTGAATATCAAAGAATATGAGCATGAGCCCCTCTAGAAAAATCGTTCGATGATATCATGAAAGAAGTGATACCATGAAAACATACATGTGCATCCATACGTGAATAATTATCTTCCATCTCACCCTCTCAGATCTGGCTGAGAGTCAAACACTGATGAAGACAGCTGGCTGAACAGTTGATGGGCTGTATGGGGAACATCTGAGCTCATTTCCTCTTGATGTGAGTAATGTTATAAAAATTCATCAACCCAGAAATCTATACAATAAACCTGAATTGTGTACATAGTAGAGCGATAAACGAAACACCCTTATAGTAGACCACAAGTTAAATACATGAAAAACTCAGGGAATCCCAGAGTTGATGTTCAAATAACCAAAACTGACCGATTTAAAACAATAGACTGCATTACTGACGTAGATACAGTATAGGTTGTGGTTATAGTGGTCAATTCAAATACATTGTTGAGAAGTTTTAACAACTTTTTTTCAATAATAGCACCACTAGCAATGGAAATTCATGACATTTCATGAAGGTTCCTAGTCCTCCTCATTCAAATTCAAATCAAGTTTGTTTGGATTAAAGGGGAAAGACGAATTTTGGGGAAACACTTTACAATAAGTTTAATTAATGTTTATTTGATGTTAATTCAAAATAAACATTAATTAACATTTAATGTTAGTGAATTTATGTTTGTTTATACAGTTTGATGCTGCTCAAAGCGGGCATGCTTACACAGGAATTGCATAATGTAAAAAGTTTACACTATACATAAATTATTACAAATTCTAAATGTGTACATTATAAAAAAAAAATAAAAAAAACAGAAATTCGTTAGAAGGTGCAGCTGCAATTCAGACAGTGCAGACGAGCACTGAAGAAACCTGTGTGATCGGTTACAATGAAAGTAAAAAGAAAAGTAAAAAGAAATCTGATGCACCCTGAGCAGCTCTAAATTTAATGCTGCAATCAACACTTTTTTGTAATAGATTTTTTTTATTGTTCTGGGGCATTTTTAGCTCCATTTAAGGAGCATTATTACCCCAAGCCCCCGTTAATTTCCGACCCTGATGCGTTAATATTATTTAATGGACTTGAACTTGTATTTTTTATAAACTAACATTAACAAAGGTTAATAAATATTGTAACAAATGTATTGCTCATTGTTAGTTAATGTTACTTAATGCATTAACTAATGTGACCTTGTTGTACTTTTTTACATTTATGACCAGAAACAATAAATAACAATAAAATCTGTACAAAGAATTGGTTTTCAGCACCTTCAGTGCTTGGACTTCTAATGTAATACATTTAAATATAATATCGTTGGATAAAATTCAACATTTACTTTTGGCCCATGGCCCTCAATCAAGTTTAATTCTTTGTATTAAAAAGTTACATTAAGAAGTTACCGTATTAAACATTAGAGGCAACTCTGATTTACATCAAATGAAAAACATCTGAGCAAGGACTTGGCGCCCCAATAAAGCACACTACTACCACACTACTTGGAGGTGTATGTGCAATGTACACACACACACACACACACACACTTCTTTAATGTGTGTTTCTGTGTGCTGCATGTTAGAGTGTGTCGGTGCGAGAGGGGGCGAGCTGCTGTACATTTCGCTTCTCATCTCTGACACCACATTACATAGAACGAGCCTTCCCATTAATTACCCCAGTGACACACTGAGGAAATTCCCAAACAGACTGCCGTCATGAAGGAGAACATGGTAACAGAGAACAGAGTCCTTCTTTCAATTCTCTCCTTTCTTCCCTTGTTTTGTTTCACTCACTTTCTCGACCTTCAGCCACCGTGATCCCGAAATAAGTGGCCTGGCACTGAATGGCAGTTGTAAGAGACAGCAGCTACTATTTTTAGCTGAGTGCTCGAGCAGATATTGCATCATTTGGATTTATCATCTGATGAAAGAGCTGCCATATCAGACAGCCCTCTCTCTCTTTAGATCTCAAAACTATGCAAACCTGAAGGAAATACTAGCTGGCAAAAAAAAAAAGTGCAAAAAATGTTGATATTTACTCACTCTCATGTTATTCTTTCTTGCTGCTCTTTTTCATACAAAAAACATGAATGGTGACCATGGGCTGTCAACTCAAAAAAAAAAATCACTATAATTATTCCAAGTCTTCTGAAGCCATACCAGCTTTGTGTGAGAAACAGGCTAAAATGTATGTGATTTTGGAGCTTGACAGCCTCTGGTTGACATTTACATTCATTGTACAAAAACGGGGAGCATGAACATTCTGCAAGACATCTTCTTTTGTGTTCCACTTAAGAAAGATAGATAGACAAATTTAGAAAGCATCAAAATTATGTAAACCATTATTTTAAAGCTTTATGTTAGTATATATTCTATATGCAAGCAAAAAGACAGATCAAAATTCACTATGCAAATGCATATTATATGCATATTAAAGAAAGAATTCAGAATTCAGGATGCAAATGCCATGATAGCATCATTGCTGTCAGTTACATAGTCTATTATGATCACCAAGCCTGCATTTATTCAATCAAAAATACAGCAAAAACAGAAATATTGTAAAATATTATAATTCAAATGACGAACAACCTAGTATGAGAGCCTGTTCTAGTACACCCCCAAATCAAAATCAAGACTTTGAAAAGAGCATAATAGGACCCCTTCAATATAAAATTTAATTTATTCCTATGATGGCAAAGCTGAGGCATCATTACTCCAGTCTTCAGTTTCACAATGATCATTCAGAAATCATACTAATTTGCTAATTTTGTGCTCAATAAACATTTCTTATTTTTATCCATTTAATGCACCCTTGCGGAAGTATTGATAAAAAAAAACAAATAAAAAATATAAAATAATATATACACTTTTGAACGGTAGTGTTAAGTCAAAGAGAGTTTTTTCAAGCTTTATTTTTTAATTAGTCTGCCAAGACCAAAAATAAATAACAGCCTTTTCTCTTTGATTATCACTTGGAAATGGAAACAGCAGAAAATGTGTTTATCCACTCGATCTAAACCCTATTGCCCAAAAAGAAGCGAACTGTAAGAGAAGGGTTTGCTTATCTCCAGGCATCAGCTGAGATCTATCTGGTTGAACCTACCTTCACTTGTGGGTAAGACTTCCTGTTCTTCTCACTGGAGGCCCCTGGGAGTCCTCCGTGGGAGGGGCCCTCACATCCATAGCGGAACCTGAAGCCCCTCTGGAGATGACAATGTCAGACTTAATATTTTGCTATAATGAGTTTGTTATTGTCACTGCCTGTTGCCAGAGTTACCAGTCTCTTCTGAGCCTCTGTGCCTTTACAGTGTGTTTAGCTTAACACATTAGGAAAATCACTTGCAAACATTTCAGTGGAGATGTTTTTTTGACTAGTTTAAATTATTGAACAAGAGCATTTGCAAAAATATTGTATGCATTACCTGTTTTGGTTGTTCGACAATTCGCAGATAAGGTCCGTCGACTGCAAAAGAGATGCAAAAAAACCTTTAATTGAACTGTAAAATGAAATTCCCTCATCAGTTATTCTGTTAACCTTCCACTCTGCAGTCGCACCTAAGTAACATTCACACTTCCACATCTTTACACTTGCTAGATCATGATTAGTTTTGAAACAGAAAACCAATGTCGTTTAGTTAATTGTACATTTCCCTTCGGGAATTAATAAAGTTTATCCTTATAAAGTTTATGCCATATTTATGCCAAAATTGATACGTAATGTCTGGATACATCATATTTTGAATGAAATTTGTGAACTGCAGTGAATAACAACTTAAATATCTGTTCTTCACACAAAGCAATCAAAAAGGGCAAAAGGGCAAAGTGAACATTGTGTTGAATATCTCCTTTTGTATTTTATGACAAAAAGGAACTCATATGCTTACAATGTCAATATCACAATGCAATTCAAACAGAAGCATAAGCAAACATGACTAGCTGAAGTAATTTAATTCAACCAGGTGTTGGAAAATCAGAAGGATTAGAATTCAATCTCATCATGCAGACTTTCGGGCCGTCAAGCATTTCAGAGCTTTTGCTGAGAGGTGGGTGTTCTGCAGATATTTTAGGGCCAGAGCTCTTGCTGTACCACGTGTTTCCACAGAAGTGCAAGCCTCTTCCTGTGCACTACAAAGACTGAGACCACATCCTTGGTGAAACGCAGCTAAATCAATCAGCTGCTAAACCTGCAGAATTTAAACTCACACAGCCCAGCTTCAATGTGTCCACTTCTCCCAATACACTGACATTAGGAAACGGTCCAGATCGATGAGCGTTTATTATGATATAACAGGGACAGGTACTTTATTTGGTTAGATAAGATAGTTGTATTACCAACATTACTCACCTGTTCTTTGCTTGATGAGGTGTCTCAAGTCTAAATATGTCAAAACCACAAGTGCACTGAACTCAAAATAGCTATCATTATTCAATTGTCAGAGTGAGCACACCATCTCAAAACAGAGTAATAAGGGGTGTTCCTACTTAACACTTAGTAGCTAACTGTATCACTAGTATTTCCACATTGTGCTGCTGCATGCTTGAATAGAGTTGAACTCTGTTCTAAAATTTTGTCTAACCGGTTTGACTAAGTTCTGTTGCTCATGTCACCTCTAATTACCACCTCTCACTGAAAATAAATGATGCTAGTAAATTATGCTTTCCTGCTGCTGATGTGAACGCCCCACCAAGATAACTCCATGTAGTAGAAACCTAAACGAACAGTTCACCCAAAAATGGCAGACAATTTGGTGAAAATCCAAGATGTAGATTCATTTTTCTTTCTTAGAACAGTTTTGAAGAAATTGTACTGAAATTGTATTGAAAGTGAATGGGTGCCGTCAGAATGAGAGTCCAAACAGCTGATAAAAACATCACAATGATCCACAAGTAATCCACAAGACTCCGTGACATTAATTAACGTCTTGTGATATAAAGTGAAAAGCTGCATGTTTGTAATAAACAAATCCATCAAGAAGTTTTTCACTTGAAATTGTAGCTTCTGTCCTTTATCCATAATACTGCTTTCTCCAGTGGAAAAAAAAAACTAATTTGAATCAGGAGAGAAATATGAGAGTTCTAAACAAATCTGTTGGTGGATATTAATGTGAAAGGACAACAGGGGAACTGGAGGAAGTGTTATTATGGATTATGGACTGACATTTTAAAATAAAAAAAATGTAAAGTTAAAGTTAAAACACCTTAATTATAAATTCATTTCTTCAAACACACAGCTTTTCACTTCACAAGACGTTAACTGATGGTCTGGAGTAGGGTGGATTACTTGTGGATTATTGTGATGTATTAATCAGATGTTTTCCCACTCATTCTAATAACATCCATTTATTGCATAAGATCAGTTGGTGAGCAAATGACGTAATGCTACATTTCTAATTTCTCCAACCCATGGACTTTCATTTGCATTTTTCTAAATATCTTCTGTTTTACAGAAGAAAGAATGCCATACAGATTGGAATTATTATTTTTGGGTGAGCTATCCCTTTAAGTGTGCCCTTTTAAAAGTCTTTCATTCAAAGTAGAGGTACATTTTTAACCAAAACTGCATAGGTTTACAGTTTTACAGTGCTTAAGCAGATCAAGCACAGGTGTTGAAAGGTGGCAGCCCCAAAACAGCACTTATCTCAGAGAGGTTTCTCATGCAACCACATGGTGGTGAAAAGCTGTTCATGGTTTTCAGTCATGTCTCTGTAATCCAATGAGGAAGTGAAAAGTGTGGGGAAAAAATAGATCAGCTCTTGTAGCGCAATCATACACACTATACGAATGACTGTGTATGACATCACTGAACTAAGGAATGAGATGTTTCTGGGATTTTGTGTCTGCACTTCTCTAGAAAGGTTTATTGGATTTTGACCTCTTACTGAATGTTACTGCAGGGTGACTGTTTTCTTGAGAAAGGAATAAAACAAGAAGTAAAATGGGAATGAAGGCTAGTCTTACCGCATCCATTCTGCAAAGTTCAGCAAGTTATCTCTTTATCAAGACCTTGATTGAACGACAAATCTGAAAACTCTAAGGAGTCTCTTACCAGTCCTCATTACATTATTGTTGTGGATGCCCGGAAATGCTGTCGGGTCCATGGTCATCCATATTGTGTCGTCTCTGAACGGGTCAATAGGTTCCATGTACTTTAGAGAGAATTAAAGCAAAAACAATGAGACACACATGCAGAAGAATATTTTATATTATTATTCCAATATTTGGAATTTGGCCATATTCAGATTATGTATGTGTCAACATATTTATCACATTAAAAGCCATAATTTTAGAATTACTGAAAATACAACATAATAAAATCACATATGCTGGTTTCTATGTATGCTGTAGCGCAGTGGTTCTCAAACCTGTCCTGGAGTACCCCCAGCCCTGCACATTTTGTATGTCTCCCTCATCTATCACACCTGATTCAACTCATCAGCTTATTAGTGGAGACTGCAAGACCTGAAGTGGGTGTGTCAGATATAGGGAGACATATAAAATGTGCAGTGCTGGGGGTACTTCATGGAGAGGTTTGAGAACCACTGCTGTAGAGAATGTAGGTTTTTCAAAATAAAGGCTTAACCAGAATATAGACATCATAAAAAGATTTGCATGCAATTACGGCTATTTTGAACGCTTTACATATTTTTAAACAGCTCCATGACTTTCTGTCATAAACAGAGGGTTTGAATTTAGGAGTGAGATTACTGGCACAGGTGTAAGATGCATCACTGTAGTATGTGTAGACAGACAAGGCAGTAATATGATTTTATATGTGAATACAAAACTGAACAAACTATAGTGTATAGCTTAATTTGGTGCGGTGTAAGAGTGAAATAGCAACCACAGAAGGCAGGAAAAACGAAAACCTCCTCAGCTTTCTAAGAGACACATCCTGTGTGATGCTGCGGTATTTACATAAATTAATATGTCCTGTTTCAAATGTAATAATTTACTATCAGGCTTATACGCCTTCAAAGGCATACATCTGTTACAAACAACACACAAAAAAGAGCTCTGAGGTCTATGTTTATCTTGTGAAGATAATTACAAGGCATGAGCTTCATGCTATCCGTCTCCTATCAGCTATCATGATAATAAATATTTTCATAAATAAATTAGCAGGTAGCAACAGAAGCTTAAAGTCAACATGAAATTAAAACTGAACCAATTTACCTCCTGGTCTTACAGTTGGCGCCAAAGACAAAATACTCAGAAATATGTAAGATTACTGACGTTAATTGAGTTCGAATGGCAATTGGGGTGTTTCCAAACACTGCAGAAAATCTTCCCTTACCACACCATGGTATGGATCCTCTCCAGCCATGATTCCTGTGGAGAAAAGTAAAACATTAATTCACATTTCATAATCGTATTCTTATTCACACCTTATTCACACAGTGTCCAAAAGTAGTCTGGAAAATAGAAAATACGAAGGGAAGTTAAAAGCTAATTCTTTATTGGTTACACAAACAGTAGAAATGTTTTGTACGTAAGCGAATCTGTGTTTTTGAACGAATCTTTTAAGTGAATCGTCCTTGTTCGCTTTCATGCTCGTAACATGAAGAAGTCACTCCGCTTTAAATCAGCTTTCCTGCCTTCAAAAACTGATGCTGTGTCTTAATGTGCCTACTTATACTACGCCCTTAAAGTATGTACTCTTTTGGTGAAGAAAAAGTACACACTTTTGAGTGTGTAGTAGAAGAGTAGGCAAGCTTTGGGACATACTATCACGTCACACAATTACATCTTTAAAGGACTGCTCTGTCATATAATTACACGCACCCGGTCACTGTAAACTGGTCTGTAAATCATCTTGTCACAGTTAACATCCTCCACATTTCTTCAAAGAGAAAGGAAACATTTAAATCGCATCATATGACCCCTTTAAATTTAACTTCCTACTGTATTGGAGAGAAAAGAAGTAGCTCATTGGGGGGGTTGTTAAATAAAAATGTAATTTATAACATTTTAGACATTTATAAATAGACTAATTTACAACATTAAAAAAAATTTTTTTGTCAGAAACTCAAATTACATATTTTGTTTGGTTGTCTAATGTTTGTTTTCAGAATCGTGGGAGAATAATAGCATAAAAATACATAGGCTAACGTATCAGACATCTAACTAATACCATTAGTACTGTTTATAGCCTATTATGTTACATGTTAATATGTATGTTTATGAACATGTATTATGTAGTTCTGCAACCAACCCCACGGGAGATTTAGCACAAATACTGAACTTGTGAGTCATTATGATTATATTAAATACAGCCTAATTGTGCAGAATCTGCATGTATCTAGCTTACTTGAACATACTCGTCACTACGCAACAAATTACGGTCGCTGGTTTCCTTTGCATTGAAACAATAGCGAATAGTTGAAAAACGACTCAAGACCGTGACCGTTTCTCATTTTGCATTCTTGTCTGTACTTGTGTTCTTGTGGACTTGTGAAACGTCATCAGTCGTCGCCCAAGTACTGTTCCAATCCCCAGATGTGTTCTTGCTCCGCCCCTTTTATCATGGATGCATCCAGAGGTGACTTGTGAAAACTTGAGGCAGCCAGGTATCCCAGAATGCATTTCGCACCAACCAGCAAGCGTTAATGGTCAAAATATTACTGTTATTGTGTCATGAATGCTGTTCTAAGAGTATTTCAGGCGAGAATGTAGTTGTTTAAAACTAAAATCTGCAGTTTATTTATAAAGATGACGCCTATTTGAAAATTGGCTTCGCTGATTTTGGAGACGTGAGCTCCAAGCGATCAGCGGGCGCTCAGTGCTCATGTATCCGCCGAGAGCAGCCTCACCTCGGCTAGTCCTTCTGACATTTGCCGCTGGATCTGATTAGGGGTTAAACATGAGATATAATACATTTTGGGTAAATCTTTGGTCTCATGAATCTATTATTTATTCTAGGTCATATCGTTTTGGCTGAGCACAAAGTTATGTTTCATAAATTAATTATTTATTTATTAATCGTAATACAGCGCTGACTTTGTTGCATACATTTGACTGAATTGTTTGCTTTTGTCTTATTTCCTATTACATACGTCTCTTATACTTTATAGTTATACTTTTATAATGGCTATTATTGCTCATTAAAACTGACATTAACAAAAAAGGCAGAGTTGTGCTTGTCATATTTCATTTTATAATACATTCAGTGAAGATAATCAAGAGCATATTTGCACATATTACCTAAACCACATATTAATGTTTTATATTTTTAAAATGAAAACGAAAAGGGTTGTGTTTTATATTTTGAAGAAAACGAAAAGGTAGAGGTGTTTGATATCATTTCGTTTTATTGTAATGCGTGTACGTTTTTGTGGCTATTAATATTTTAAATGAAACAGAAAAGAGGCAATGCTGTTTGATATATTTCATTTCACTGTAATGTATGTAGCCTACGTTCCCCGAACTAAATTTTTGCGCCTATTAATATGTTTAAAAGAAAACAAAAAGAAGAAGTGGTGTTTGATATCATATTTTGTCGTATTGTATACATACAGTTAGGATAACCAGAGTAGTCAAGGCAAGCTGACTGACGTTATCAAGTACGCTGCTGTTCCATTTGCAGAATTACTGAGAAGGGTATAACTGCATTTGCAGATCTCCAAATGGGGGTGGGAACGCCAAAACAGGGTGGGAGCTCCAAAATAGGGCGTGGCTTCCTCCCATTGACAGACAGGCACATGACACGCATGCACAATTTTTCCTCCAATCCACTTCAGTGCAAACTCTGCCCCACAGCTGATTCTAAAGATTTTATTGGTTGTGTCAATTAAAGTGTTGATTTCCTACATTATGCTACAAAAAATGTTAACCCCTAAACCTACCCCACACCTGACCCTAACATTAACCAGTGAAATGGACTGCACGGTGGGATTTGCGCTGAATAGCGTGGTAAAGAAAGTTGCAGTTCAGGAGATAAACAGTTATTAAGATTATGCGATATGAGATCGTTCCGTAACTCCCCAACCAGACCTTAGCGGACAATGGCACCTTTTTAGTTACACCCAGCGTCACTACCCCCTCCTGCCCTGCAAATTTCGAGCCCCGAGACGCCCCTGTTGCTTAAAACAAAGCAGTAGAGTAAAATCTTTCCCCTGCGCTGTGCCGGGACGGCTCGCGGGAGAGCTCGTGGTTGATTCCCGTTTATATCATTAAGCAGAGGTTCAAACTCCAGTCCGAACACCACTGGCTACGAGCTCTGGGCTCTGCTCTCACGGAGAATATTTATTTATATAGCATATTTTAATTTAGATGAACTAGAAACAATGTTAAATTTATAAAGCTTTATTTTGAAAGTCAACAACAATTGGCTGGAGCCAGAGCCAATGGTGAAAGTCTTTGCGCGAGGAGACCACGCCTCATTTTGGAGGTTCTGCCCAGTTATATCTACTTGGAATTACCGGACTTGCGTCCTACCGTCCTCGGGAGTTCGCACTTCTGAGTCGAACTTGCAAAGTCTGAACTACTGAGGACGCAAGTCCAAACTTTGCGCACTTGTGCCTTGTCCAAATACCCGCACTTGCGGTCTTGGCCACTTGAGAGCGCATGCGCGCGACAGGAAGTAAGTGTGCAAGACTGTCCCAGGTCTTAAAGGGGTCATATAATGCTATTTTAAAGATCATTATTTTGTGTATTTGGTGTAACAGAATATGTTGACATGCTTTAACCCTCTGTTTATTTTTCAAATACTGTACATTATTGTAGGTCCTCTATGCCCCGCCTATCTCAAACATGTCGTTTTCAACAAACCCCCCTCCTTTGACAAGCTCAGTCTGCTCTGATTGGCCAGCTGACCCAGTGCATTGTGATTGGCCGAACACCACAAGCACGCGTCGGAAATGTAACGCCCCTTACCATAATCGCGAGCTTCAGCTTTCAAAATAAATATCAAGACAGTTAATAATGTCCTTAGTTTTACCATCAGTTCAAGACCGAAAGGGCTACAGAGTCGCGTGACAGACACAGTGATGATGCAGTACACAAGCCGCGGTTAAGACAGCTGACGTGCTATGATTTCTGACAGACAGTTCACTCTCCTGTGATGTGACCCTGTTCCCCTTCACACACACACACACACACACACAACACATTACTCTGCGCTGCGCTAAACTCCGCATTTGAACAGTCAATAGCAAATACTTAATCTGATAACAAAACATACTTACAGTCACTGATTCAGAAGCGCCAGATTGTCATAGCAAAGTCGGAAATGACCCTTTTTTTTTTTTTTTTTTAAATAGCCTTT